GGGCATTAATTAATGTTGACTGTTTGCTACAAAGTATAATCATAAAAGTGCTGTAATTATTCTGTTTCAAAAATAGGCCCCAGAGAATGTGAAGACTCTTTAAGCTTTCATTCCAGCATGTTTAGAAAACATCCTTTAAAATGAAAGCAGTTGGTGGCTGGGAGACTCCACCTGATCCCATAGGCCAGGGGAGTCTTCAGGCAGCTCCTCTGCCACTCAGAAGAGACTCCGCAGTTTGGAGCATCCCAGTGCCAGCCGGCACGGGCCATGCTGCTCTGCTCTGCACAAATGCAAGAAGACAACCCGAGCAGAGGGAAGTGAAGGGCCCACCCCACCCAAAACTCCAGAAGGCCTGTGCTCTTGTACAAATTCAGGGTCTGTCAGCAGCTGGGAAAGGGTCTGTGCTGTGCTACTCTGTTTGGCGATATGACCAAGGATATCTATGGACTTCAGGGCCTTTCTTCCTTTGGTGTCCGGAACCTGCATCCCCGTGGCCTCGGGGAATCTGGGTCTTTCCTTCCAGACCAGGGAGCAGTGGGGAAGATGTCAGGGCCATAAAACGCGTGGCCCTCCCTGGGTGACCTACCTCTTGGTGCGGGCTCTCAACTGCTGTGCTGGGGCAGGTGGTTTCACCAGGTTGCACAGCTCTGCAGCCCTCTTTCCAAACACAAATTCAACCTCTTACTGCACTTACTGCATAATTTTGGTTTTATTGGATAGATATTTGAATTATTTAGTTAACAACTAAGCCATATCCTTTTGGGTTAGGCAGGAACAGCAACTGCATCTAGAGCAAGTCAAAGCCATTTGAATGGCCTTTATGCATGGAAAAGTGTCACTGCTTCCCTCTGCTGTACATTTGGCCTAAAAATAAATAAATATAGATCAGGGAGTTGTCTAGAGAATCTGGCTGTAGTTATACAAAGTGTAACTTAATACAGCCAAAGGACAGTTGTTGTTGCTAGAAGCCAAAGTGGAGGGTGACACTTAAAGGATCAGAGGGGTATCCTCAAAAGCGGTGCCTTGGGAGGGATTTCTGAATCCGAAGGCCCCAGCCCGAGCCTCACACTCCCCCGAAGAACACTATGCAAGGCATATTTCTGCACGTTGTTGAGACTCACAGCGGGATGTTGCTTGAAAGGCTCGTCACAAGTTGTTCCTGACAGGTGGTGCTGATAAAGTAGCAGGCTGAGGGATGCCATCTCTGGTACCATGTTTGGTGGAACATGGAAAAGCAGAGGCATCTCCACAAAAATTTCACCTCCAACTGCTTCCATTTTGAGACTTTTATAAAATTAAATCTACATTTTGTCACTAAGGAAAGTGTATTTTTCTTCAGTGCCTCTGCAAGATAGCTCAGTTTTCATCTGACTTACAGATAAATATTTTAGTTTTGTGCATAGAGGACACTGCAAAATGTAGCCTGAAAGTGAAAACAATGTAAGGCCATGATTGCCTGAAGGCAGTCACAATCTTAGAGACCTTTTAAACTTACAAATAAGTAAGTAAGTGTACTTTCCTAGTACACTTGGCTGCTGCACATCTTATTTTTTTTATGTGTGACAAGAACTTTAGTAAATTGTATTCATCTTCTTTTAAGTCTCTTTGACCAAGAGAAAGAGATGCCCAGCTTCCATCTTGAAATACTTTACTTTCTTTTTTTAAAACAGACCTAGAAGAAAACTCAGAATTTAGAAGCTGAAGACATTGCTTGCAACTTGCAGCTAGCAGGGCAGAATTGCATTCACTGAGCTTGCAGAAGAAATATGAAACAAAACCAGGAAAAGTTACAGGAAAAATGTTGTTGATGTGTTTGGTAGCTGCAGGAATGAGTTTGCATTCATGACAAATGAGTATGATGCAGAAATGTCAGACAAAAAAAGGGACTAACCAGTGATCTAGCCTAAGCCTTAGGTTGTTTAAATTTATTTCTTAGTTTATCTGGTATTATGTCTGCCTCTTGAATAAAACACTTAGGTCCAAATTCATTGAAACAACTAAGTACATGCTTAAGATAGATAACCACATGCTTAGATATGTCTCTGTGTTCCTCATCTCTGCAAGCTTGATCCAAACACTGTTGCAATTTTGACCTAATTTATAATAGCACAGACTGACCAGATAGGGCACGTATTAATTCTGCTGATGCCTGAAACCTGCAAAACATGCAGTCCTAGCTCTTCCACAAATTTCTGGACTGCACAGGGAAGTTACATAGATAGCTTATTCAGTATGCCCTGGGTGTCCTTAGAGGAGCAAACCCCATTACACTGGTTATCAAAATGATAAGATCTCTGGTCTTCCTGTGGAAGTGAAGGCAGTGAAAGGCATTAGCTAGCAGAGAAAAGAGAGTTCAGTTTACTGCCATCCCCCAGAGATGGTTATAACTAATTAAACAGTGTCACAGCTTGTGTTGTTTCTCCATCATTTGGCTCTTCAGATCAAGAATAATCTTTCTTAAGTGGCCCACTGTTACAGGCATTTATAGGGCAATTATAATATAGGCCCTGTTTTATCATAGATGAGATCACTCCCAGCCTTAATATCTGTGAGTCTTGTAATAACTGATGGTCAGAGAACGTTACGTGAAAATATTTTTTTTTATTATTAAATTACATAGCAGGCATCCAAAATGCATCCAGCTGAAGCAATGTTATAAAATGTTGAACGTTTTGAGCTATTTTAACCCATTTACTGACAGCAGCCCTTTAAACAATGTGCTCTGAATATTTGCTTAAAAAAAATGTGCAAGGATTTCCCAGGTCCTGTGATGGTCTCTAGAAGAGTCCATAGAGAAGAACAAAAGCAACGAACTTCACTTCATCCTTCTGTTTTCTCGTGTTTTTTTGGCATCATTTTGGTTGCTAATAGAGGTCAACCTGCTGCATGGCTAATGGACAGGGCATGTGTCATCAGCAAGCATAGAAAGGTACTTATACAAATTGGTGTCAAGCGCCCAGAGCAAAAACAATTTTGCTTTATCCCTTTTATTTCTTGCCTTCTTTTGTCTCTTTTCCTTTGTTTCATGTCACAGCATCTGCTTGGAACTGTTTTGCCAAAATAATTTTCAAGTTGACGGTGTCCTCCCAATTTGGAATTCAGGGGATTTCTACTATTTAGTTTTGAGTCTGTTCGTCCATTCCTTTCATGTTACTAAGATTGATGTAAAACAACGGGTACAGATGAAACACTTTCCTCAGCTGTGGAGATGTCATGAAAGATTGCATCACTGTAGTGCAACAGAAGGCAAAACCAAGCACTGTTACTTACGATTATTACACAGATATGGTGCCAGACTTTGATCTGAGGATAGTTCCTGTCTTATTGTGTAGAGTCTGTGCAGTAGATTCTTCTACGTACATTTTTCCCCCTGTGACATTAAATCCTGACAACGCAATCATATAATCAGCTTTTCTGATTAAAATACGTCCTGCGTCTGCTGAAGTGAATGATAAAATTCCACTTCAGTGAGGCAAGACAAAGCATAGACTTGTGAGACGCAAAGCGCTGTGTGGTTTAGAGTTAAGAGCAAAAAGCTGCTATGTATTTTTCTAACTTGGACAGCATTCTTTTGAAGTTGTCCTGGGATTTATGGACATGCTTTTGCTATTTCTTCAAAGTGTGTTGACCAGGCTTTATACTTCTATCAATCAAGCTCAAATAATTCAACTGGAAACAATACATTAATGTGATAAGTACACCTGCTCAAGTCAGCTGGCTCCAGCAACATCCTGCCTGTTTTATATTAATAGGTGTTTTTATCTCCTGTGCACATATTCAAGTCAGCACTTAAATTAGTTTTGCAGATTATGGACTGAGTTTACCTGTTTGCCACCTTGTCTTGATAATCACATATTGATTTCTTCTTGGCATTTAGGATATGATGCTTCAGTTGTTTCGGGGACTGGATTTCCTGCATTCACATCGCGTGGTACATCGGGACCTGAAACCCCAAAATATCCTTGTAACCAGCAGTGGGCAGATAAAATTAGCTGACTTTGGCCTAGCACGAATCTACAGTTTTCAGATGGCTCTAACCTCAGTGGTAAGTTTCTGGAGGCTTTTATTTTTATTTCAGTGTGGTAGAGTGCTTGCTCTCTGTGTTCATGCATTTTTATCTCGTTATAACTCTGCTTCACAGTCTTCTCTGCTGTCAAAGTTCTGTGTGTCTGTAGCGACGCGTGCTTTTCCAGCTAGAACTGAAGTTGTTGTGGTTACTTTGTAAAAGTAACCAATTGCTGATTGCCGGGTCTATATTACATCACGACTGATTACTGAAGGATAGCCATGAGCTAGTTTTCCAAAGCACCTTAAATCTAGCTTTTGTTGTGATAATGGCTTCTTCTGTACAGTAAGCTAGAGGGGAGGAGTGGAAGTTTCCCAGGTTTCCTAGTTTCAGATAAAACTCTGACCCTCAAGGAGTTGTTCTTGAAAACATGCGCCGATACTTCCAAACACGCCGCTCCAAGTTGCTCCTCGCGAATGTGGCTCTCCTACATATGTTAGGATCCTATATCCTCCCATATGTTAGCAAGCGATTCCAAGCAGGAATCCAAGCTGGAGGCAGTCAGGGGGAGCTGGCAGCTGAACGCAGAGCCCTTGGCCAAGCCGGCACCTCCAGTACCTTCAGCCCCTGCCACCGTTGCCCTTGGCTCGTCCATGAGCTCCCTCCAGTAGCTCTGCTGCCAGCTCCTTGCTTTGGCCCTGGTTCCACACGCAAGCAGCAAGCAGCTCTTGCCTCGGCCCGGCCTCCCCAGGGCTAACGCGTGGTGCAGATGAGCAGCGTGTGTGCTGAGTGGCACTTGCTCTTGTTGCAGGCTCATGAATTCTTTGTTTCCGTTTTCTATTCTGAGGAGATGGCCGTATCGTTTATGCTAAAGACAGGGAAGGGAGAACTGCTGAGAAAAGAAACTGAAAGGAGTCCACTTTGCATTTTACATGATATTCAGAAGTTAGCCAGCCTCACGCTGATAAAAAGCAATCCACTGTTATTATTAGTTACTGTAAGAGCCTTACCACAGTTCTGTAATATAACAATGATTCTTTGGGTTCCGGCTTCGGCATGAATGAAGACAGGAAGAAACAGAAAATGATACCATCATGCTGATACCATCATGCCGCTAAACATAGGAAAGTATTGTCTTCACATGAAACATGTAAACTGGCAAGTTTGCTCGGTTGTGCTTTGGCGTTGTCTTTTGTAAGGATGTAGCCTAATCCAAAGCCAAAAGAATCCCTGCTTAGGTCAGTGAGGACAAAACAGATTTGCAGAAAAGGAGAAAAAGGGTCTTCTTGAACTGCTGTAATTTTTCATTTCCAGGCAATCAGTCAGAAACAGTAATACACATTCACTGGCTATTTCTACTGATCCTCAACTTCCTCAAGCCAAAATTATTGAATGCTGTAAGGCCATCAGCAGAACTCTCTTGAAAAAATCTACATAAAATGCGGAAAACCAATCTGAGCAGCATTTCAAATGCGATCATGTAGCCTGCACAGGGAAAGGGACCAAAAGTCCCAAACCCAGAGTGCCTTCACTGAAGCAAGAACATATTAGCTAGGACTGGGAGTAGGTGTTGGCTGTGTCTCATAGTGCTGCTGTGGATGGCAGTCGCCAAGGCTAAGGGACAGTCTGCATGAAGCTGTACACAGTTGTACTGTGTTAGCACAGGCATTCAATTATCCTTACAGCTACTCTACATGGTACTCTAAGGGTTGTATTATAAACAAGACTGAGCAAAAAGTGTGGGTGTAGGCAAGAATAATGGCTTTCACATGCACAAATCACTCTGTTGTTATTTTCTTGTTTAAGAATCACATATCTGACTGATGTTGGTGTGCGGAGGCAATTTTTATGCTGAGCGAAGGCCTAAGGAAATGGACACTTTCTTAAATTGGAAAAGTTAATGTCTTTTGAAACACCTGGTATGTAACAGCCCTAAAGTCAACCTTTGGCTGGCTGTGTAGAGCCTTGCTTACAATGTAATCTAACTGGTTTTAAATGTTGGTCTTCACTGCTCCTAGAGACCAAGTGGTGGTTAGAAATGTAATGTTTATTAGTTGAAATGGTGAGAAAGGCAGTCAGTTTTCCTTATCTAAATGTAACTTTTACCTTTGGTTAGCTGCTTTGGTGTACTAATTCTCTTAGAATTTTTCCCTCATTAAAACTCAGTGCAGGAAACAAGACTTCTAAAAATCTCTTTCATTTTTTAAACATAAGAAGGTATTCTTGATCTTACTATTTCCAAAAGTAAGTCTAAATCACAGTTCCTAAATATTCATTATTCAGATAGTGGGTAAGCTTGTGTTGACTTCAGCAAGGCCGAATTTATCTGGGACGTGTTTGCAGGAAAAAATCTGCCTTACGTAAAGACAGTATGGTGTCTAAACACACGTCAGTTAATCCAACTGCTAGCTTGCAAGGATTTGCTTTGGTGTTGTATTGAAAAGTGACTGAAAGGCAGGCTGCTTGTGCTAGCACTGCGATCACCACAAGCGCCCTGCATCGTTTCCTTGAGCAGGGAAGCAGGGCATGATAATCTACCAGAATCATCTTTGGAGGTACCAGTCACTCCCAAGATGCAGCCTCATTCTTTGCTCACAAAGAAAGTCTTCAGATAGGAGAAGAAGAATGTGCAGTGGAAGTAATCCAGGAAAGCCGGATCCAACCTCCATGCTTTGGGTGCTGCAAATGGTGGCGTCAAAGCAGTTGTTTCCACAATACTGCTGAACTTTCCAGCACATCAGTTGTCCAGCCGTATTGCTGACACGTAAAGAAACCTCTTGATATTTCCTTCAGTAAGTGAATCAAAGATTGAAACGGATGTGACACAGGTGGGGAGAGACCTCTTCTCCCAGCTGCAGCAGCCCGAGAACTGAGACAGGGCTGAAGTTATCGTGCGAGGAGCAGCGGGGCCAAGGGGCTCTCTGGTGTTGGTGGCCGCACACGTTTCTGGTTTCGTACAAAGTGAAGCTTTTTTCTCAGGTGTTACTCTTGGCCCTTGGGGGAAACGTTGAATTGGCTCTGTGATAGCAGAGAAGCTCCAGAGGAGAGAGAAGATGGATTGATTGTGACAGGACAAGGGGTAATGGGCGCAATTTGAAACAGGAAGTTCCACCCCTATGTGAAGAAGAACTTATTTCCTGTGAGGGTGACAGAGTCCTGGAACAGGCTGCCCAGAGAGGTTGTGGAGTCTCCTTTTCTGGAGATCTTCCAAACCTTCCTGGATGCCACCCTGTGCCCTGTGTTCTAGGTGTCCCTGCAGGAGCATGGGGGTTGGACTAGATGATCTCTAGAGGTCCCTTCCAACCTTAACCATTCTGTGATTCTGTGATTGGTGGCTGTGTAATTTTAGAGTTCGATGGCAAAAAACACTTTATTCCTACAGTTCAGAAAAATGGGCACTCAGTTCTGACCTTCTCTGAGCAAAGGAGTAAGGGGCTGCCTTGAAAATCTGAAGTTATCTTCTGAAGAAGGAACGAGGCATTTATCTGTTCTCTGTTGGCTGCTAACTTACTCCTACTCGTTACTGCTAACTTACCTTCTTACATGAGCTGCTCACTATCTGACTGCCTTGAGGAAAGGAGATAGAGATGAATCGTGGCACCCCAGAATGCTAAAGGAGACAAGCAGGTACAGCTGTGATCGCAGCATCTACACAGAGCCAAGCCAAGAGTCTTAAATCATCACCTGCCTTAAGGAACCTGAGGAAATGCTAGTATTCGTAAGACGTTAATGATACTCTAAAATGTGTGCCTTAAAATAGATGGCAGCACTGCTGAAGGTGCTTTTTCCCATGAAAAGTGAACAAAATTATGTTTTCCTTCTGAAAGCTAACTTTTCAGAATTGCTGAACATCAGAGGGAACAAACATCACTTTCCCTGCTATGCCCTTCGTTATTTCATATTGGCTGAGCTAAATTGATCATTAAAAAGAGAAAACACACACAAAAAAACATGCTCTTACTGCCAGTGAATCATTTTAGATTACGCTAGCATTTTATTTGAGTCTTTCTTCAGGATAAAAACTTTCCATCCATTTCCTGGCAGTCACTTCAGCACAAATGGTTTACATGTCACATCATGCAGGAACTTGGATTTCATTTTGTTGGTATAGTAGCAAGGGAGCATAAAATAATTTTCACTAACTGGGCTTACTTTGTAAAAATAAATATATAAATTAGTTACAGCAACAAAAACAACAACAAGAAAGATAGAAAAAAAAATCCATCTTCCAAAGAGGAATGAGTGTTTTCCTGTTTTCTGCCCACTGTTGCATTGTAAGATTCTAATAAATACCACCTGTTAGTAAATAATGTCAATGTAAACTCTTGTTGGAGCTCAGAGTATAGTTGAGGGCTTGAAAACAGCATGGTCCAAAAAGTTTCTTTTGCTTTGGGTTCCTTCTTTTCTCTTTCTTTTTTTTTTTTCTTTTTTTGCTGCCTCTCTCTGATCCTGTGCTTCCTGAAATCCACATGTTTCTCTATACATCCTGCAGAGTCTGTCCACACGATGGAGGAACCCGGGGGCTGTTTCAGTACAATGTGAGGGTACCTGCACTGGATAACCTGACATGGCTCTACAGGGCCCGATTCACCGAGCTGTTTACAGCTCATGCTTAACATCAAACACAGAAGAAGAGATATGAAAATTAATTAAGAACCTCCTCCGGTGAGCCAGAGTCAAAATCTGCTCTGTGTTAAACAGAGTTCTCTAGTGAAGTCAGCATGTTGGCCCTAGATTTTATTTCATATATAATTAGCTAAGGATGTAAAACTTGCTGCCTGTGGCACGTGGGAGGTTTGGGGAAGTACTGAACACATCACCCTAGGTCTGAAGCCTGGTCTCCAGGCCCTGCCTTGTGGCGTTTCTCCAGTTCGCCAAAATGTCCCTGGAAAGGAAGATGAGTCACCGACGGACATTCAGAGGAGCAAAATAAGTGTTGTTGAACTCCTGCGTGCTGCTGCTGAAAGGTTGTGGTTATTTGGGAATGCAGTACAATTAAATCGGTTTGCTTATTTAAGGAAAATTTGTCTTCCCTACTA